CCTTATTGTTTGAATTCACCTGGTAGATGTGTAAAGTCAAGTGTGGCGTTGCCAAATATTATGTTTAAGTGATATTGGATATAATACTCTATTAGGACAGCTAGCTTGGAACAGGAGATAGAGAGCTTAAAACTGAAGTTGTCTGCTTGCACAAGGGAGAAACACAATCTTCAAGAAGAGCTTGCAGAAGCTTACCGTGTGAAAGTGAGCATCTTTGATGTTTCTTAAATAAAATCCTTTAGATCTTAAGATTGTCCAGAAGCAAATGCTTACAAGTTGTGTTTTCAGGCTCAGTTAGCAGAATTACATGCTGGAGAAGTAGCAAAGGTCTCTTTCATTTCATACTAATTGTTAATCAGGTTTCTTTTGTAGAACATATCCTCCTACCATATAAGTATTCTGATGTGTACTTTCTCTTCCAGAACATGGAAGCAGAAAAGCAGGTTAGATTTTTCCAGGGTTCTGTGGCAGCTGCTTTTTCTGAAAGGGATAAATCAGTAATGGAGGTATGAGAGAATCCCATCTCAGTGTAATGGGTAGAAGCAAATGTTAGAATTAACAATCTTTTTGATGTCCTCCTGAATTGACTAGGCTGAGAAAGCGAAAGAGAACGCTGAAATGATGTCTCAGAAACTGGGTGAAATTGAGAAGCGGTAATTGTGACCCTGTTCACTCCGTTTTATTTTAGTAGTTCCCTTTCTATAGAAAAATTGAATGTATGTTACTGCATCTACTGATCTAAATGTCTCTAAGATCCTTGCTCTATAAGTGTTCTATGAAACTTTCCACCCTCGTGAATTTAACTAGATAAACTTTGTTATTACCTAAGCTGTGTGTCGAACACTGGACAGACATACCACTTGCACTATATGTACTCCTAACCTTATGTTACTTTTATCTTCCGCCCTTCCTTGTTTGGTCCCTGGTAAGACAGGTTGGAAGAACTCAGCTCAGATTGTCTTGTACAGAAGAGACTAAATGACACATTGGAAGCTGACTTGGCGAAACTTGAAGAACAGACTAGGACATATGCAGAGGTAAATTTTTCGTTGTTGTCTTAAACATTATTCATCTATTAGTCTATCACGTTTACTTCCCCTTGGTTTTCTCTTAAAGTTCACAACTTCTGATCTTTACAGTTTACCTCCCGAGAAGTCCGCGTTTTTTATGAATCTTTATGATTGTTAGTGACGGAGTTCTTCCATGTTTTACTTGACCTTTCTAGTCTCTCACTCTCTCTGTTCAGGTGATTGAGAAGTTCTATGATATCCGTAAAGCTTCACTCTGTGAGTCCTTTGAAATGAGTTTACATGACAAGTGTGCAAGTTTATTGGATGATCCTATAGAATCCTGGACTTTCAATGATCCTTCAACATCGGATTATGTAGTAAGTTTCTGAAAACATCTCTAGTCCTTATTTCATCGTTTGAGTGTTGGCTATTTACCATTGGCTGGTAAAGTTGGTTCAAATAGAAGATTTTTGTCTATTGACAAGAACCTCTGGATTTCAGCCAAATGAGTTGTCTGGAAAATTTGGATATTGGTTGTTACATTTAATTGTATGATTTCTATAAAGTACAGATATAGTGAATGCCAAAACTACGACAACATATTGAAAAAACTGTACTTAGAAGGGATATAAAAGTTGAGCTTAAGAAGCAGGACTCTGGTATGCGAATAAAACGTCTGAGCAATTTCTTTATATAAAATTGGGAGACTAATTGTTCTTGGATGCAAAACACAACCAGAACCTTGACATTGCAGTTGAAGACAGGGACAATCCATTATCCAATTAGAATGAATAAAACTAGAAATAATAGATAGATTTCTAGGAAATACAAGTGTACTCAAAAAGATGGGAAGTGTTTCAAGATTTATATATGTATGCTTAATATTATCACGGTTATGGCACAAAGCACTGTATCAGATTATTACGATGAATTATTGTTTCTATCTGCTATTTGAACAACTCTTTTCAGACAGGCTGCACTGGAAAGAGAATTAGGGAAGGTTAAGAACACTGTGGATAATCTTCAAAGTAAATTACAAGTGGTATGTATCCTTTCATTCCTTATTTGTTCACCTTCAAGTACTACGAAACTAAGTGCATCATTCACTAATGATTGATATTTGTTACTCTAGGGCTTAGAGATTGAGAACCATTTGAAGAAAAGGGTTCGTGTGTTGGAAAAGAAGAATGTGGGTATTATAATTCCTGAAGTCTAGGATTATTCCTCTTACCGTTTGAGGTGTCACTATTGACTTGCATACAGATTGTTGCAGATGGGCTGATTGTAAATGGCATTACAGACATGCGTCATCACCATTCTCAACTGAGGGACTACATCAGTAGTTTACTGAAAGAGGAAGAACTATACATTAAATCGATTTCCAAAGATATGGAAGAAAAACATAAGCTTCAGTCATCGGAAATACAGAATGTAGTGCCACTGCAACATAATTTGAAGCCAGATGAATCTGAATGCCGTGATGTGCATATGACCACAGTTGTTGAATCATGCCTAGTAACTAAGGTCTGATTGGTGGCAGATTTTACTTCAAATTTTCCTCTCTTTTAGTCTGCATTATGTCATTATG